TCAAAAAAAAAAAAAAAAAAAAAAGCCAACTTGTTTGCTATCAGAGAGATGATGCTTTTCCTTAAATTTCAAGGAACATTAATTCTTTGAATTTATTGGTCTTCTAAAGCATACATTTGGCAAGTCTCATATTGCTGGGAGCACAATTATTCCCTAGACAATGTAGTCACATTGATTTTCAAAAATAGTGTGACTGAGTTTTCTTGTATTACTATTAACAGTGTCTTTAAATTCTTCCTTAGCACCTATTTCTGAAATGCCAAGCTATCCATTTTCAGGTTTTTTAAGTCAGTGTCAATATACAGTTGGATTACTGTGACTCACAAGATTTTGGATGGCTGTTTGCTTCACCATGGTCTAGGTAGACATCTGATAGTGTCTGTTAGATAACATGGACTTTCTCTGCACTGGGGTAAACAAGGAATTTCTCTGCACTGGGGTAGCAAGTGAAATTTTGACTTGGGAAATACCAAATCTGGGTGCTTAAAGCATTCTATGGCAGTTGTTAGGCTTTACATAGTTACTGGGCTGCAGCCTTTGTCCAGAATGTGGCTTGAGGTCCTTGTCAAGTTGTGTGTACCTATAAAAGAGTTGTGCTTTTAATGATAGGGTCAAACTTGCTGTTGATCTTTGTAAGGTGTATCCCAAATGATTTGTCACCAGTAACAACAAACATATTTATAAATCACTTATGCAATCTTTAATTTACTGCACTTGTTTGGTTGGTATGACATTACTCTCCTATACCTGTATTTCAGTATTTCTGGAATAGAGGAGGATAGGAAAGTAAGCTACGGAGATTAAGGTGTTTGGACTTATGTATAAGAACCCTTGGGAATGTACTGAATGCAGGACCAACATGGGGCATGTTTGTTGCTTTGGAAGAAAGATTGGCCTTTCCCCAAGATAGACTCTGAGATGGAGATTTGAATGTACGTGTTTTAGTAGGCTGGCCTTGTAGAAAGGGCCAGATCTGGGCAAAGGGCCCAAGCATCTGCCCAGGCACTGACTAGTTACTGGAACAGACTGCCCTGTGGGGGAGGGGGTAGCTTTGGTGAAGCCTCCTGTTTGACCATGGTAGTGTCTGGGAAGGGAATCAGCTGTGAGCTAGCGGCAGACAGCATTCTTACCGGGGAGTGCATCTCAAACCCAAAGGGCAAGAGTGACCTCACTACAGTATCCTCTACAAGAGCCATTGGATGTGTGTCTTCCACAGTTATTCCACCTATGCAGCACGAAACTCCACCATTCGGTGTCCTGACCTTGTGGGTCTACATACTGTGTAAGATATTTGGTATATTGGTTTCTTTTTCCTCCTCTTATTCCCTAATGATTGGTAGCAACAGGGAGGGTCATCAGCATGAAAACTTGGGTCCTGAACTGTTTTGGGTGAAGATCAGTCATTTTAGAGTCTAGATGTAATTGTAAGAGCGCAGTGTTGGTGTTTTCGTAGTTAGGGTTCAGTGCTTTGGAACAGTGGTTGTGCTATAGAACACTGCATTTTCACAGTGAGAGCAGCGTGGCGTTTCTGACTGTTGCCGCACTGGCCATAACACCACTGACTGGTCATTTGCAGCCCGGCAGGTTGCATCCTTTTCATCCACCAAATGCCAGAGCAAAGCCCTCCTGAGTTATTACGGAGGAATACTCTTTTAAAGTTGTTCATTATTTCTAAGTTCTTCTTGGAGAAGCTGCTTTGTGTTTATCCTTCCAGTGGTTAGACTCTGGAGTGACTAACCTCTGCTCTACCACCCCCTTGCTACTACTGACAGTCATCCGCTTGGAGTATGACGACATGTATACTGTGTATGTAAACAAAAGCTGATAGGAGAACCAGGAGAGGTGAGCCAGATTAACAAATGGCTGAAGAAGGAAGGGGAGCTGGAGTGACTCTTGAGGAAAGAAAATAGCCGTTTTCATAATCCTCTATTGCATACTCACCCTGGTACTTGTGCTGAGCCTCTTCTATGTGTTGTCTCATTTTAGTCTTAATATCATAATAATAACCATTTTGGGAGTCAGGGATGTAGCTCCGTAGTGCTGCACCTGCCTCGCAAGTGCAGAGTCCTGTTTGATCCTTGGTACTGGAAAAACAAATTTAAAAAAAAAATAGCCGTTTTGTAGGGCAGTTACAGTGTATCTGACAGATGAGGGAGCTCAGATGCATGTAGCCTGGAGGCATGGCTAATAAAGGGGCAAAACTGGGCTCATCATTTGGAATCTGCTCTAACCTTTCAGGTAGTGTTCAGCCTAGAGAAGACAGTGGCTGGGAACAAGGTGGGTGGTGGCAGGATTAGTGTGATGGGAAGAGAGAGGTGTTGCATTCCAGGATGAGCATGGAGACTAGAGAATAGGCATATTGAATGGCATAAAATGGACGACTTCTGCCATCAGAGGTCTGACTTTTCTATACCAGAAAAAAAAAATGACAATGTCTCATGCCTCATCTGAGTCGAGTCACATCAAGAATCTAGTTCATGGTACATCCTGAATGGGACCTACTAAGGAAAGACCTGGCATATTGCTAAAGGAGATGTCGATTTAAGTGCATGCTTTTTCCTGCCTTTGTTCTAGCTATATGAGGTTAAGAAATGTTTTTCTGTTGTTTCTTTATAAGTAGGTGAAGCAGGCCTTCCCACTTCACTTAATGAGAATAATCCAAAAGAATAAGCAGGAGGAAGTCTGGGGTTGCAAGTGGTAGTCTGTCTTATGTGACTGCTAAACCAACAGTGACTTCCTCCAGCATAGTGTTGAGGAGTCTGCAGTTGTCTCTGGCTGAGAGTAATCCCTTCTACTTTTGAGACAGGCTCTCGGAATGTAGTCTAGGCTGGCTTTGATTTCATGTAACCCAGGCTCCCTTGAACTGGTGGCAGTCCTTTTGCCTCAGCCTCCCAAGTGCTGGGATTAAAGGCCTGTGGCACCCGCTGGACCTCTTTGTTCATGAGTGAGACTAGTTAGGGGTGTGTGTGTGTGTAGTGGGGGGGGACTTCACCCAACATTAGACCAACAACTTCCCATTATTGTTTTAGGCAGGGACCCCTGTGCCTTCCAGTTACCACTGCAGATTTTTTTCCACTTTTCCCTCTGTATGGCCAGTATTTTGGTCCTGGTTTAACATTCTGTTCTTTCTTTTCCCACAGAGAACTGTCAACTCTCACTTTTTTTCCCCTCTAGAGATCCTTTTTGGCCCTCATACTTCACCTTGTACTGTTTTTGCAGTTAAACACTACATTTCTTTCTTATGCTTCTGATTCCCCTTTAGCCCTGAGGCTCCTAGATGAACAGAAATATGATTCCAGAACAATCTTTGTCCTGAATCTTAGTGGGGTCCAAATCAGTGCTTTAAATCAGAGTCTAAATCCCTTAACAATCCTGAGTCTATTTTCTATTTTGAGTATGCAGCCTTGCAATACATAAAACTGTTGTGTTTGAGTGGTGAATTAACAATTTGCTTGCAACCAATAAGTCATTGATGTCAGCCAAAGCTTATTAAAAATGGATTTTATTAAGCGAGTTCTATTGGGACAAAGAGCACAGCTTTCCCCGGCTTTGCAGAAGCCCATAACACAGCGAGCGTTGGCAGGTGGATTTGGGAACAGGCAAAGGGGTGCACATGCACACTTGGCTTTTCTCTGTTTTGTGCTCATATTCCTTTGTGCTACCGGGATCATCATGACAGCCTTATCTCTCAGCTGAAGCCTGCTACCTCGTCTCTAATTGCTTACCCAAAGGCAGGCGAGCTCTCATTTCTCCACATTAATAAATGACTCCGAAGAAAAACTGCTTTGTTTGCACTGGCTCACTCAGGTTAACCAGTGTCAGCCCCTGAGAGCAATAGGAAACCTCAAGGAAAAATGGTGTTCACCTCGATCCAGAGCTGCCTTCCACTTGTTTACTTTTTGGTCATGTTCTCTGCCCTAGTCTTTCCCTAATGAAAACACTTGAGTGACCCAGGTCAGCATTTCTGCAGCTGGGGGTACTCACTTCCGCCTCAGTTGGGGGAGTAGCAATTGTCCTGGGAGGAAGGGGGCCCTTGCTGATTTTCAGGCTCACTTTTTTGGCCACTTTGCTGCTCACTTGTCCTGAGAAGTCAGGAGAGTGTGCCCAAATCTTTCCACCGAGTCCTGTAGTATACGCCGTGATGTAAGATAGCTCCCAGTTTCTCCTTTTCGGGGCATTACAGGAAACTAGTATGGATTTCACAAGTGAATGTGCGGAGTTTGGGTTTGTGGGAGTCAGAGTTGAGAGTGTCTGGTGACTTTTGAGTTAGTTGCATGACTGACTGCTTTGTGAACTCAGAGCATTCCCCCCTGGGAAATAGGTCCCTCTGTCACCACCTAGTAATATCTCGTCACTTAAAGCAGTTGCAAATACTGTTATTTTCATATATCCAAATTGTAAGGATATTTCTTTTTTTCTCTCCTCAGAATGAAATGGATGATGTGCCCTTCTTTGATATCCAACTTCCTTATGAATTGGCAATCAATATATTTCAGTATCTGGACAGAAAAGATCTAGGAAGGTGTGCGCAGGTAAGCCGTCATTAACGTCTTCAAGATTTTTCTAAATGTGTGGTTAAAGTATAGGCAGCTCCTGGGTAAAATAAATTTATTTTATAGAATTATAGACTTTACAGAATTAATGAATTGCTTAGCATCTTTATTTGAAGGAAATCAACCTTGAACTTAAAGGATTGATGGAGTGACCACAAGAGAAGGAAGAGAGAGATTCTAGTGACTAGGTGTGGTGGTGCACCCCTATAATCCCAGTACTTAGGAGGCTGATGGAGGAGGATTGTTGGGAATTTGAGGCCAGTCTCGGGGGACTACATAGTGAGTGCACAGTCAGTCTGGACTATGTAGTAAGATCTTGCCTCAAACCAAACAAAACAAAAACAGAATACTTTTGCAGGTTACACTCCCAATAGTGCATTTAATATGAATTCATCAGGGAATTAATCCACTGATTATAGTACCTTTCAAGCACATGAATTTTTGTGAGACCTCTTTGATCTAAACTATAAAATTCTGCCCCTAGCCACCAAAAGACTCATGTCCATCTCATTATGCAGAATGCATTTAGTTCATTGCTGAGAATTGCCAAAGTCTTAGCAATTCTAGCTTTGCTGAAAAGTACAAGTCCAAAGTGTCTTCTGAGAGTCAAGGCAGACCCTTAACTGTGACCACCTATGAAAATAAAAAAGAAAGTTAAATACTTCCAATATATAATAATGCCACAGGGTAAACAATTCCAAACCAAAAGGGAGGAATAAGGGGATAGAGGGAATCAGACTAATGTAAGACCAGAACCCAGCATGGCAAACATTTAATCTTACAGCTCCATGTCCAGCACCCGTGGCAGGGTGTGGCAAGATGAGAGCTCCAAAGGGCTTGGGTAGCCCTACCCCTATGGCCTTGCTAGTTGTAGGTCACGTGACTCTATTTTGGGCAGGTTTTCCTCATTGCCTATATCTTTTCTTAGCAGATTTTACATGTTCTTGGCACCTCCAACTTCTTGGGGATGTATCTTTGGCTTTACTCACAATATCATGTATTGCCTTCTTAGTCTCCTTGCCTGCCCTCTCAGGTCTTTCTCTGAAATCTGGATGGAAGGCTCCATGATCCCACAATGCTTGCATTGTGCATGCTTGAAAAACCAGCACTATGTGAGTGACACCAATGTTTGCTGCCAGCTCAAGGCATAGTTGGGCCCCCTTATACAATGACTGCAGTGGCCTCATAGTGCCTGGATGAGCAAGGGGCTTTGGGACCCTCTTATCAAAGCAAAGTCCTTCAAGGAAGTTTACCTTTACTGTTTTATACCTTTGAGCCTGCAAAAGGTAGAATCTGGCCAATTCCTGATAGATGCCTTTAAGCCATTTTTCTGAATATTGTCCTGATGTACAGTACTTGGCCTAATGTTAATCTTTTCGGAAATCATGCTGTCCTCATTCTCAACTTTGCAGATGCTTCCTTTTTGGTGAAACTCAAGTTTTTACATCTGCATTTTGCTTCTGAGTCCCAACGTAGTTCTGACTAAAACCAGGCAGCAGTGTCCATACCACAGCCTAAACATAGGGCTGTCTTGAAATTTTTTCCACCACATCAGTTAGTCCACTACACTACTCTTAATCTCAGTCTTGTGCAAATTTTTAGCATATGTGCAAATTGAAGTCAAATTATCTGCCAGAGTGTAACATACAGGACGTCTAGTCCAATTGCCAATGGAGTTCTTATTCCTAACTGAAATCTCATTAGTGTGGCCTTTATGGAGCACATTCTTGACATTCTGATCTTCTGAGCTCTGACTATATAGCACATGAAGCCCTGCTCACAAGTTCTAGGGCTTCTCTAGCCCATATCCAAAATTTCTCAGATTCCACGTGCAAACATGTTCAGGAACAGTCACAGCAGCAACTCAACTCAGCTTTCCTGTTGCATGGATAAATTACTCAATACCTGTTACAATTTAAAGGAGAAGTTTATTTGGCTCAGTTTTTATAGTCCATAGTTAGCTGACTCCAAGGCAAAGATGGCCTGGTGGAAAGGCATGAGAAAAACTGCTCACCCCACGGCAGCTAGGAAGCAGAGAGAGAAGAAGAGATGAGGCAGGGACAAGAGTATGGCCTTCTAGGACACACTCCCAGTGACCCATCTCTGACCAGGCTCTACCTCACAGCAGCACATTCATCAGTGTACAGTGACCCAGTCACTGTCCAAACATGAGTTTTTTGTGTGAGATGTTTTAGATCTAAATCATAATACTAGATGATGCCAGTGTGACTTTGGCTACACTTTGAAAGACAGGAGTTTGTCATTAAAATTGTTCTCTTGTTCTTATTTCTTTGGCCAAGAGTATACAATTGATCTTTCATTTTCCTTTCTCCCACATTGTCCCCTTTTCTTTCCTTTTTCCCCCCTTAGGATTTGAGCCTGGGGCCTCCTGTATGCTAAGCAAGCACTCAGCTCTCTACCACTAAGCTATATTCCCAGCCCTATGTATTTTTTGAGACAGGTTCTTGATAAGTTGCCTGTGGTAGTACTGAACTTGAAATCTTCCTTCCTTAGCCTAACAGCTGGGATTACAGGTGTATGCCACTACATCTGGATTTGTAAAAAAAATTCATTTTATTTTTCATTGACAAAATTGGATGTTATGTTCAACATGATGTTCTGAAATATGTATTCATTTATGGCTAAATCAAGCAAGCTACTCATTATCTTACATACTTTTTTGAGGTAAGTACATTTAAAATCTACACTCAGCAATTTTCAAGAATCCAAAACATTGTTAATAACAATCACTGCGTTGTCTTGTATGTCTTGAACTTATTCCTGCTGTCTGACATTTTGTATATTTTGAGCAACATCTACCCAATACTCCTATTTTGTATATTCATAAATTGAATTTTAGACTCCATATGTACATATTATATGGTATTTGTTTTTCCATACCTGGTTTACATTAATGCCTCTAAGTTCATCCATGTTCTTAAAAATGAAAGGCTTTCCTTCTTAAGGCTGAATAGTATTCTGTTGTATGCATATATATACCACAGTTTCTTTTTTTTTTGGTACCAGGGATTGAACTCGGGTCCTTGAGCTTGCAAGGCAGGCACCAGAACCACTGAGCTAAATCCCCGGCCCTACAGTTTCTTTATTTATTTGTTGATTTCATATCTTGACTTTGTAAATAAAGCTACAGTGTATATATCTCTTTGACTTGCTTTTCTTTGGATCTGTATCAAGTAGCTAGATCATATGGTAGTACTATTTTTATTCTGAAGAGCCTTCACTCTTGTTTCCCATAACTATTATACCAATTAGCTTTCCCACCAGTGGTGTCTGAAGGGACTCTTTTCTCCGTATTTTCTCGAGTGTGTATCCTTTTTCTTTTTATAATAGCCATTCTAGTAGGTGTGAGGTGGTTTTGATTAGTGATGTTGAGCATTTTTTAATGTACCTGTTAGCCATTTAGTCTTCTTTTGAGAAATGTTTTTTCAGGTCCTTTGCTCATTTTTTAAACTGGGTAATTTCTCTCGTTGAATTTTGTATATATTTTGGAGATTAATTTCTTCTCAAATGTATGGTTTACAAATATTTTCTCCCATTCCATAGGTTTTCTCTTCATTTTGTTGTTTCTTTTGTTGTATAAAAGCTTTTTAGTTTGATCTAATCCTGTTTGTCTAATTTTGCTTTTGTTGCCTGTTCTTTTGGGATTATATCTGACAGAATCATTGCCCAGACTAGTGTCATGGAGCCTTTCTTCTGTTTTCTTCTAGTAGTTTTTCAAGCCTTACGTTTAAGAAGTTCACTTACTTTGATGTGATATTTGAGTATGGGTGTGAAATGAGGGTCTAATTTCATTCCTCTGCATCCAGCGGATATGCAGTTTTCCCAGCGTGATTCATTGAAGAGACTGCCTTTTCCCATTACATGTTCTTGGCACTTTTATTGAAAATCAAGTGACTGTAAATGCATGAGTTCACTTCTGAGCTCTTTGTTCTGTTTCTTTGTCCTATGTATCTGTTTTCAGTGCCAGCGCCACACTGTTTTGATTACTGTAGCTTTGTGTATTTGTGTGTTTTTTTGAAGTCAGGTAGTGTGATTCCTCCAGCATTGTTCTTTTTGCTTAAGGTGGCTTTGTCTATTCAAGGTCTTGTGGTTCCATATAAATTTTGCAGGTTTTTAAAAATTTTTTTCATGAAAAATATCTGGAGTTTTTATAGAAATTGCCTTGAATCTTGTAGAATATTTTGAGTGGTATGGACTTTTCAACAATGTTCTTTCAGTCTATAAACACAGTATTATGTTTCATTTATTTGTGTGTTCTTAAGATTTTTTTCACTTTTATAATTTTTGGTATACTGTACAGGTCTTTTTACCTCCTTGGTTGAACTTATTTGAAAGTACTTTTTTGTAGCTGTTGTGAATGGGCTTGTTTATATGTAAAAGCTATTGATATTTTTATGTTGATTTTGTATTTTGCAACTTTCCTGAATTCATTTACAAGTTCTAACAGTATCTGATAGAATGACCATGTTGTCATTGCACAAGGACCGTGTAACTCATTCCTTTCCAATTTGGCCATCCTTTTACTTCTTTCTCTTGCCGTATTATTCTGGCTAGGACTTCAGCACTGTATTGAATAGAAGTGGCGAGTGTGGGCTTCCTTGTCATGTTCCTGATCTTTAGAGGAAAGGCCCTCAACTTTTTACCCTCGAGTATGTTAGCTGTGAGTTTGTCATATATGATGTTTACTGCATTAAGGCCCATTCCTTTTATACCTAATTTGCTAAGAGTTTTTACCATAAAAGAACGTTGAATTTTGTCAAATGCTCTTTCTTAATGTTCCATTAAGATGATTGTATTTTTGTCTTTCCTTCTGTTAATGTACATCATGTTTACTGATTTCCTCTGATTTTCCATAAGCATGTGTGATTGCTGATCATTTGGCTTTTGATGAATAGCTATGTTCCCTAGAAGATACTAGAGTATCCATTCTCCACAACTGCCAAAAAAATTATTTTGTT